CTCTTTTCCCATATCAAAACCCATCTTAGTTCCTATTCTAGTTGATCTAATAACTTAGATAAACTATGATGGATTATATCTTCACATAGCAAATATGAAATTGCATTTTTATAACATACATATATCACACAAATGGAAGGTGAAAAAAAAGAGACATGATTTCAAAAGAATCCATCCTGAAATTTTTATTATTATCTATATATTTTTAGGACTGAAAAAGGGTACAATCAGAGATTCTATAATCCAAAAGGATATAAAGTCCATCAGAATTTTAGGCAAGTTTTTTGTAAAGAATGCGGTAAGCTGACAAGATTTAGATATAACTATTGTAATACATATGCAAAAAAACATAGATTAAGAAAATATTATCATCAGAAAAAGTAGGCTAAGTTAGCTTTAATGCAGATACTATAGGTAATTTAGAGGTAAATAAAAATAATACAACTTATCACTAATGTTATAGAAAAAAAAGCTCGTGATAAAACTAGTGACGTAGACTATAGGCTCTTTAAAAATTCTATATTAAAAGAAAGTTTTCTTGATAAGTATCACTGGTGTTATTAGTGTCACTGGAAAAAATCTGAGTTTCTTAACTTTTTTTTTTATTTTTTAGTATACATATTATATTCCATATAGATCATAGGGATAACATAAAAAATTTTCAATTTTTTTCTAGAAATTATTACTTTTTACTAGTGACACTAGTGACACTAATTAAGAAAGAAATAAAATAGCCTAATAATCTCAAGAAAGATAGTAAACCTGTCACTTGTTCTGTCACGAGTTAGTATTCAGAACTAGTGATACTAGTAATACTAATCAAGAAAGAGATAAAATAACCTAATGCTATAAGTTGGCCTTAATGACTTATCAAAATTTGTTCTCATGAAAAATCTATAGGAATACTCAACAAATTAGCATACTCATTACCTTGACTCAGATTAAACTATTATCAGATCTCAGAAGTACTTACAATATTCCACTAATTTATCTTTAACAAATAGGCAATAATTAGATTACAAGATGATGCAGGCTAGCTATAATAATGCATGGTTTTTTATATTTTATATTCTGAATTTTCTAATTCACAAGTTAGCAAAAGTTACGTGATTGGTACAGTAAGGTGTAATATAAAATCAGCTAGCATTATTTCACAATTTCAGTCAGCACATAAATTTAACCAAATCAGCCAAAATTAATCACAGATTTACTGCGCCACTTAATATGATATTTTTTATCACATTTTGAGATCTAGAAAGGCAACTAAATAGATGCAAAGGAAAGCATTCCAATATTGAATTCAGCATTCAACCAGATGTAGGAGGTCAGTATTCTCAACATAAAACCAGATATCTAAATAGCTATAGAAGGCTAATAACTCTATTATAAAATTTAGCATGTAAACGACTCAGAAATAAGAAGAAAAGCATAATATTTAGATATATATTTATAATAATTAGATTATATTGTTGTAATAAAAATATATTAGTATAAAAATATGAATATCAAGAAAGACTTAAAAACATAACTAGAATATAAAAGTGATATAAAAAATAATAAAATATTAGATTATATGTAGTATTCAGACTGTATCATTTAGATTATATATAGTAATTAGATCACATCATTTAGATCATATGCTGTATTCAGATTCTATATGTTATTTAGATTACATATAATATTCAACTTATATAAAATATTTAGATCATATGTGATATTCAAATTATATATGATATTTAGATTATATGCGATACTATAATCTAGGTTAAGTAAGATACTACATGTAATATAATTTATATTACATGTAATATTCCATTTGCCCTAGGTAGCCTAGAAAATTTCTATTTTTTATCTATAGACATATCGATATATACTATACATATATTATATACATATATAATACATATCTTATACATAAAAAAATTTTGATTTTTATTCTTAGAACTTTATTTTTACTAAAATACTTAGAGATCCTAGGGAAGATAATATATGAATAAGTTAAATTAAGAAAAAAATACTTTTTCCTATAATAAATTCTACCTTAGAAAGTAGTCTAGTAAAATTTCTGCCTTAGGATACTCAAAAAAATAGCCAAATATAAGTTTTATAATTTGCATGTAAATAAGTGCTATTTGAAAGCATATTATCATCAGAAGAAGCTGACTAAGATGCTTCAGAATAGGTAGATTCCAGAGGTATTAGAGTAGGCTTTTGATAAAATAATACTACTACAGCACTATTAAGTTACCATCATAGCGCTGAGCTGGATCCTCAAATTATATGCATAAAAGATCAGCTAAATTATGGTATAGTACTGGCTGAAATTAATTACAAATCTACTGCATCACCTGTTACCTTTTTTTACACTAATTCAGCATCTAGAAAGGCAACTAAATAAACGCAAATTTTTAAAAAAAAACTAGTATCTAAACTAGTATAAAGGACTGGCACCTTCATTATAGAACCAGATATTTAAAGAAGATTGAAAAGCCAAAACTAACAATATAGATTTTATTATGTAAATGAATTAGAAATAAGAAGAAAGTAGTCATTATTAGATCATGATATCACCATTAAATTAAAACACTATCAGTCATCATTAGATTATAAAATTACTATTATATTATACAAGAAATAAATAAAATAATATTATAAACGTAAAGAAGTTACCCATATGTAGGTTATAAAATCATTATTAAAATATAAATAGTAGGTTATAAAGTTGCCACCAGATCATAAAATTAGATTATAATATTACCGTTATATTATGAAGTTACTATTATATTATGAAATTATCAACAGATTATGAAGTTATTAATAGACTATGAAACTATCATTATATTATGAAGTCATTATTATATTATGAAGTTACTGGTAGACTATAAAGTTACTATTATATTATAAAGTTACTAGTAGACTATAAAGTTGCCTTCATAATCTAGGCTAAGTTGTATATGACTTTATAATATAATAATATTATGAAGTTACATGCGACTCTTTTTATAATATATAATTTGACTAATATAAATAACTAAATATATTACAAGTGCATAAAATTACTTATTCATATTTTGTAACTATAACACAAAATTTTTAACAATTTAGATAAATACAATTTTTTTTATTAATAATTTATTATTTTGAAAGTTATATTATAATTTTTAATTAAAATATATAACTTTTAATTTTAAGAACTAGTATATTTATTGAAAGAATTTTTCTGGTAAAATTGATCTAATAATAAAAAAATGTTTTAGTTTAAAAATAAAATTAATTTGAGCATGTATGTGTCTTAAAAATTAAATAAAATATGTAGTTTTTATTAATTTATTAATTTAATAATTAGGAAAATTTAAATTTTATTTAGTATAATAATATTAAATTAAAAAATTAATTGCTTTAATAAATGAATTATTATAAAAAAATTAACTTTTTATGATATTTTAATTTATTTGATTTTTATGTCATGATAGATTAGATACCTGATTTGAAAAAGGTCAGGTCAGATACCTAATCTGAACTGAAAAATTTAATATATGGATTAGATTGGATTAAACATTTATTTATATCAGATAACTTTTAATTCAATCTGAAAAAATATAACAGATCAGGTCAAATAAATTACATGATCTGATCTGACTTGTTCAGAGCTCTAGTTTTACTATTCAAAATATTTATATTATATGATTTAAACTTGTAAATTTTAATATAACTTCTTATTATCTAAAATTAAATTTAATTTATTAAATTTTAAAAATTTATAAATTTTGATATAAATATTAAATAGTTTAATTACAAATTGTGTAAATACTAAGAAAAAAAAATTTTTTTTTAAATAAAAAGTTTTTAAACAAATAATAAAAAATTATATCTATAATAAATTTTTAAATATTTTCAATTTGATATTTTTTTTAGCATTTATCTTATATTAAAATTAAATTATTATAATTTATGGTAAATATTTATTAATTTTACAATTATTTAGAAATTATAATTAATTTTAAAAAAACTTTTTCAAATTATAACATTAATAAATTAAATATTTAATATAAAAATATTTTTATTTTTTATAAATAGTTCAGATATATTAAAAAAATTAAGGTTGTTTATTTTAAAGTAAAATATCTAATTTTGTTTTTAGGTTTTTTCAATAAAGTTACCTTTTAACTGAATTTTGCAGGTTTTTTATCATAGTTTTTCAAGTTTTACTTTTTATTAGTTAGATTACTTTCTAAACTCTTAGGTTTTGGGCGTTCTCAAGCAACTCCCTCAATGTAATTGGCTAGTGATTGAGATAATGCAATCAATACTTGAGCAGCTTCTCTTCATTCGAAGTTTATAATGAACAAACTAATAAAAGAATAATGGAGCTACTACTCAACCTTCACAAATGAAGGAAATGCTTAAACGATCTCTTTTTATAAACCATCAATGTAAATTTTAGCCATTCAGCGTAGCTCTATGAAAAAAAAGATGGTTTGGGCCTGAATATTTTATTCATCGAAATGGTATCTGCAAAATCTATCTCTGACTAAATAAAATTTCATTTCTGATCCATTGAGTTAGGTGCTTGAGAATGCCCTTTATCTAGCAATTTTAATTTAAATCATTAATTCTATAATATTAACACAAAGTATCCATAAACAATGAATTTATCTTTATGATTGGAAGAAATAATATTTTTTGAATTTTATTAAGTGACCTAAATATTGTAATATTAAATACATAAAAAAATATCGTATTTTTCATAGCATTTCTCTCTAAAAAAAAATTAATAAAGTTTCACACAGTGAATCTGATATATAATAAATACTTAAGATGACTCGAATTTTATAATCATTTCTTATCAATACTTTGGACTTACAAAACGCATAAGTTTAATAAAAGCTTATTCAGATTTAGACGCGCTCACATAGTTTGATATTTAAAATCATATATAAATCACATTTTTCATCTTTACTTCTTCCTTCCAAAACCAATACTTTTATAGCTAAAATAAGATGGAATTTTTAGAATTTCTTGACAGGTACAAAAAACATTTTCCTGAAGCAATACCTGAACAAGTTAATGTAGCCTTTCAAGTTAGCAGTAAGTTAGTTTACTCGTCAAAGACCTGCTATTCTTGTCCAGTAACTAACTTTGCCTTTTTTGATAATCTAAGATGAACATTCAGGTAAGCCTTTGCATCGTAATGATTGGTCAGCTCGAACGTGATGCGCCAACCTTAATAGGCGCCAATCTTCTTTATTTTTTGAAAAAAAAATTTTCTTATAGTCTCTTCCCAAGAAGAAATGAACGAGATTAAGAAAAAGGTTCGATTTCTTGAGGTTGAGCTCCACAAAACCAAATATACCATTACAGTTTCGCACGAAGTAGGAAAAAATTTCTTAGACACAGCAAGCATTTCCCCTAATGAAATCCTTTCTTTCCTCACAAGTGAAACACCAATATTGATCGAAAGTTTAGATTTATCACTTTTACAACAGCATTGCGATAACGAAAGTAAAGTGCAGAAGAAATTTATGGAGT